GGAAGTGGTCGAGAGGTCGGGGGCCCGCGTCTCGCAGGAATCGAGACGCCAGGTGTCTGGGGACATGCTGACGTCCCCTGCGATCCGACGCCGTGATTCGTTCCACACGGGGCCCCCGGAAGTCTCGACCCCCTCCCAGGCACCGGCGCTCTTCGTCCCGAGCCGTTTCTTGACGGTCCCGGGGCCCGGCGAGGGCCGCCAGGGGCCGAGGAGTGCGAGGAACCTCCGCCTCGACGTTTTCAATACTTACGCTGGACCTCTGGACACCCCGCTGCCGGGCGAATAATCTGAATGTTGGTTTCTTGTGTCTAATGATCTCGCGTTTGTCTAATTTCCACGATCTCGCGTTTGTATAATTTCCAGTGCTTTACTGCCAATTCTATTGTATTTCTTGGGGCCATCATGTTTGTGCAGTTCCACATGATATAATGCATCTCTCTCTACATATATATATATATATATATACACACAGAGGTTGCCCTCGACCCTCCATGCGGGGTCGCGGGGGGCAGGTTGTCGCACCTCCTCGGCCCCTCCCCGAGGCCACGCGGAGGCCTGCGTTGGGGCCTCCGCGGGGGACCTCCGGGGACCTTCGGGGATCAGAATCCGGGGCGGGCGCGAAGCTTCCCACACTTCCCTTAGGTCGGGCATGCCCCCCTACAGGCGAGCGAAAAATATAACATACACCAAAAGTAACTTCAAATAGCCAAAACTGGTCACAAACAAATCGTCCCCAGACTGTTGTTGCTTTTCTTTTTTTTCAGAAGCAATGTTTTCATATTCCTCCTGTAGAGGGGCAGGCCCGACCGAACACTCCCCGAGGGCTGCTGCTCCTCCTGCAGCTGGTGCTGCTCCTGCAGAGGCTACTGGGAGGGTCGTGGCTGTCCACCCCTTCTCCTCCTCCGCCTCCTCCTCCTCCTCCTCCTCCTCCTCCTCGTCCTCCTTCCTCCTCGTCCTCCCTCCTCCACCCCATCCTTCTACCTTCCGCTTGCTTCTTCCTCCACTTCCTCCCTCCACGATCATCCTGAATCCTTCTCCTCACTTCTCCTGGATCCTTTGTCGTGGTGGTCCACAGCCTCATCATCCTGCTTCCTCTCTACCTCTTCCATCTCCAGCTCCTCAGGAGGCCTCCAGCTCAACAGGCCCACCTGCGAAAAAAATACCCCTCGAACTTCGACCGACAGATCCACCGACCCACTGCGACGAAGCTGGCGACGACGACGGCGGAGGCGGCGACGACTGCGGCGGCGATGACGGCGACGATGGCGGCGGCGGCGAGGACAGTGACGTCGGCGACGACGGCGGCGGCGGCGGCGCGCTGCTGCCAGTCCGGGGGCAGACCGCACGACGAGGAGCGCGGACAACACGCACTCGGAGAGCTCCAAGCCCTTCCAGGGGGGGGGGTGCAGGCGCGCGGGCCCAGGCCTACCTCGACGCCGCCGACGCTGGCGGCGGGCAGAGGCAGGCCCAGCAGGCGCATCCGCGTCGCGCGGAGGCGTTCGTCCTGCGACGTCCTCGCCGCCGCCGCCGCGGCCGCTGTCGCCGTCGCCATCACCGCCGCCGCAGTCACCGTCGCCGTTGCCGCCGTCTTCGGCGTCGCCGTCTCCAGCACCGCCGCTGCAGTCGCCGTCGCCGCCGTGATCGGCGTTGCCGTCGCCCGGGTTCTTCTTTTCAGAAGTTTGCGGGCGTGCTCGGAGGTTCTCGCCACCACGGTTGGGCATCAGTCGAAAACTGGCCAGGATGGATACCAGGAGGGGGCCTGAGACCGCTTTTGAGCATAACGTCGCCGCCGCCGCCGCCACCGTCGTCCTTGGCGGTAGCGGGGGGGAGAGGTCAAGAGGTGGGGCAGCAAGATCAAGGATCAAGGCTGGACGATCCAAGTTTGAACGCTTCGTCGAGCCCACCGGAAGGAAGAACACGGCAACATCCTGTCCCGTTGGCGACTCGGGGCCCCTGGGGAGCGCTGTCGGCCCCGTCACACTGCAGACAGCCCCCGAGGACACAAACACCTCCGCCCCAGGACTGTGGTGGGGATCCCCGGGGCCCACGTCGTGGGAACAGCATCGCTGCGTCGGACCTCTGGGCAAGCAGAGGAGTGGGCGAGGGCGACGAGGTCTGCAGTGGCCACGGGCAACTCAGCAAATTGGCAGAGCGCCCGCTTCCATCCTCTGCCTCCCCCTCCTCCTCCTCCTCCTCCTCCTCCTCCTCCTCCTCCTCCTTCCGTGGGCCCAAATCAGTTGGTCGCGTCCCAAGAGGCGGTCATTGACGAGCTCACTGGCGACGTGGGCATGCTTGCGCCCGCGTCCAAATTCAGTTGGGCGTGTCCCAAGAAGCGGCCATGGACGAGCCCACCGGCGACGCGGGCTTGCTTGCTCTGCCTGGACCTCGCCCGGAAGGCCTTGCACGCGTCGGCCAACTGCTCCAGCGACCTGTCGTGCTCCTCCGTGCCCAGCAGCCCGCCGAGGTGCTCGAAGCCGAGACTCCGCAGGCCGGAGGCACGGATGTTGAGCGCCTGGTGGGCCGCCTGAGCCGCCTCCAGTGTGGCGCCGTGTTCTGCGCCGTCGCCCCGGATGTGGAACTGGAAGGCCTCTGCCTCCTGCGGACTGCCAGCGTCGGCGAACACCTGCCTCCATGCAGGCAGGAGGCGGACGCGTCCAGACAGGCTGCGGCCTTGCTTGCCGATGTCCCCCCACTGCTCGTACTGGGCCCGCCTCCGCGCGCAGAGCGCCTCGCCGGGCCTCCCGGAGCCGCACGGAGAACGGGCGTGGCGTGGCATTGCCCGCGCCGTTGTCGCCCTCGACGTTGCGCTGGAGCGGCACGACGCTCACCACCTGGTCGCCCAGCCACTCGCCGCCGAGCTCAACGCTCTTGATGTAGAGGCCGCAGGGGCTGCCCGCCGAGGCCTGGAGGGTGGCAGTCATCTCCAACTTGGCGGGCAGCCGCGGGTCTTGGGGGGCCCTAATCAGCACGTAGCTGCCAGGCATGTTCAGGTCGAACTTCTTGCCCAGGACGTTCGTGAGGTGCGGGTCATCAGAGCCAGACGCCATACTCCAAACTGCGATATGCGGGATGCCAATGCTGGTACCATCGTGGTAAGGTATTAAAGCCGCTATACTGAACCACGGAGACACCCCCCAACCATGGCTTGCTCCATGGCTGTTGTATGGGCTTCAAGTTCGAGGGCGAGAGACTCGGCATCGTGGCTGGTGTTTTGAGCGCTGCTGATGCCCACCGACACGCCAGAGGGATCATGGGAATCCGACAGCGCTGTCTGGCAATTGTAAATGTTGTACGGCACGCAGACGCTGTTGTTCACGTACCATTTGTAGAGGGTACCGATCGACTCGTCATACGTGGGCTCGCTGGCCCAGTACGACGGAAGGATGAACCCAGTCATCACGAATGATACCTCGGCCGTGTAGGTGTAGTATCCCCCCGCCCGCACATGGAGAGCCTGACGCCCCAGGAGGCTTTGGTGGTCCACCTCACCCGCCTGCTGCTGGACCTGCAGAGCGAACGTGCCATCCACGGGCCCCACTTCCCAGCACCCCGCCGGCAGGCCGGGGTACGCCACCAACGCGAGGAGGCTCAGACACAGAGGGCGGCCGCGCATGGGCATCGAACGCTGTGAATGGAGGTGTGCAGTACAGAGCAGGAAGCGGCCGCACGGGCACAAAGCCGTGAGCAGGCTACCTGAGCCAGGATACCTCCAGATGCCCCCGGTGCAAACAACCCCCTGTGACGACCGTGCGCCCGGAGACCCCCGCAGCAACCTCTTCTGGACGCGCCTCCGACGCTCTTTTGTGGTGTCGCACCGTGGCTCCCCAAAGGTCTGGAGCCCTCCCCGGGACCGGCATTTCACCCTGAACCGTTCTGTGGCGGCCACGGGATCCAGCGACCACGAAGGCGCCCCGATAGGCCTAAAGAACAGCCAATCATCTTGACCCTCATGAGCCTCGCGATCCTCCTTGTCATCTCCCTCCTCCTATCCCTTCCATTCTCCTCCTCCTCCTGGGTTTCCTTCTCCTGCTCTCCCCGTCCTACTCTTCCACAAACGCCTCCTCCCCCTCTTCCTTCAAGCCGAACGCTGCCAAGAGCCTTCCGCCGTGATTTTTGCACGAGGATGCGTCTGCGAGACTGCCCACCCCAAGGCGGCCTCAGAGCGGCACTGAGAAAGGAGGGGCGCAGACAGCCAACGGCTTGGGTTTGAGAGGGGTGCGGGCACCAGGATGTGCCACCATGTTGGTGGCCTTCCCAGATATCCGACGGATCAACTTTCAGTCCGCAAGCCCCAAACGTCTCGACCTCCTCACTAGGGCAGATTATTCACTCCTTTCCACTGAATGTGTTTACTGTCTCAGGGCCCGAAGACAACCCCAAGAGGCTGACGTCGAGCGAGAAAGCATCAATATGACAGCAACGCAAGCTTGGATTGGAGCATTCAATAAAGCAGAGATCCCCGACCATCCGACAACCTGATGTTTGAATCCTCGGCCCCACAGGTCACCGACCTCTTCCCGGGGGCGGTTGCTCGTCCTGGACCAATGTGTCATGGCCCCCGATCCCGATGACGGGCCCCAGAGGCCAAAATCGAGGGAAACCGCAGGGATTGAAATCAACATATCGTCGGAAGCGGGTGGTCTAATTGGGTTGATGACGCTTCTCTCAGAACTCATGACGTCGTGACTTCTCTATCACGTGGGCCCGCGGAAATCGACTTCTGCTCGGGCCCGGCTCCTCATCCAAAAATGTTATTTGACTGCCCTGGGGCCCTGCCAGGGCCACCTGGAGGCCGAAAGTGACAGAGCATGTTCCGCCGTGATTCTCGTTCACGGCGCAGGGGGTATGAGCTGGTGGCCTTCGGGCCTCAACCCGGGCCTCTCTGGCGGAGGGAGGAGCAAGGAGGGTTGCAGGGAGGAGCCATGGAGGGGGAGAAAGAACCCGTGGATAGCAATCGGCGCTGTCATGATAGATGTGGGAGTTGGTGGGACCCGGTTTGAACCCCTCCTGGCAGCCCTCTTCGTTGGCCGAGGTGGTGCAGGGAGGTCGTCGGTCCCCTCCTGTGCTCACTGGCGGCATCATGATACGTCGCAGCGGGAACCGATGCAAATGCAATGATGGAGGCTGCGATGGGTGCGAAGCCTGTTGACGGTAAGGCAAGACGACGGCGACGTCGTGCATGGCGACGGCGGAGGCGACCGAGGACGCACGACGAGGACTTCCTCGGAATCGGTCCTTGTACCACTGCTGGGGTACTCCAAATCCCTTATTAATCGTCCCCTGGGTCCAGTTGTAACTGGGGGGTCCGGTTTATTAGGGCGCTTTCTTTGGATTGGAGCTTAGGGGGTCCGGTTTATCTAGGCGCTCCGTCGAAGACGGGGGTCCAGAATATTAGGTCGCATTTGGAGGGGGTCCGGTTTTGGAAGGGGGGGTCGATTCATAAGGGATTTGGGGTACGCTCCGACCGAGGAGCTTCGAAGGGGCAGCCGGCCGTGGCGACAAGAGGGCCCCTGGAGGTCCACGAAGGGCCACGGGCGCCACAACAAACTCGACGGTCTGGCGACCGACGGTGGCGATGACGACCACGGCAGCGGCGACGGCGACGGCGACGTACGACGGCGGAGATCCAAATCCGTTAAGCATCAGTTCCCGGACACCTCCTGGGGTCCCTCCTGGCCAGTTCTTCGAGCTGCGCCTGGCCGCTGCGACGAGAACAGCCAGAGCCCTCCAAAAATTGAAAGAACGACGGCGACGACATCGGCGGCAACGACGACGACGATGGCGGCGGCGGCGACGCCGACGACGCCGACGACGATGCCGACGACGACGACCACGACGTTGACGACGACGACGTTGACGACGCCGCCGTAACCGCCTTGACGAAGGAAGGAACAGGGTCCTCCGCCGCAAGGCCTCACATCAGGGCCATCTTCTCACACTGGCTCGTCTTCCGGCAGTGCCGGGAGCCAGGTCTTCCGGCAGTTCCTGGGCCCAGCCAGGGCCTCCCCAGAAGCCCGGAAACGGCGATAGCACTCAGGAAGCGTTTCCTTCAGAACCCGTTTGCTTCATGGCGCCACAAGCGAGCCACCGACGACGACGACGACCACCACGATATCGGCGCCGACGACATCGCCGACGACGGCGGCGGCGACGACGACCGCGGTGCCACAGAAGACGAGGGCGGCGACGGCGTCGACGACGCCCACGACGACGCCGACGCCGCAGGCGGCGGCGGCGACGGCGACGACGCGGACGATGACGTGGACGACGAGGACGACGACGACGACGCCGACGACGACGACGACGCTCGAGCGCCGCCGCGGGCGCGCGCGCGGGCGCGCCTCGCGCCGGCGCCGCGGCGCCAGCAGCGGCTCCGCCAGCAGCAGGTGCAGGAGCCGCAGGGCCCAGGCCAGGGCCTCGCGGCCGCGCCACCCGCGGCTCGCCGCCGCCGTGGGCGGCGCCCGCCGCCGCCGGCGGATCGACGTCGGGATGGCTGGTGTCGGGCTCCAGGGGGAGCCCTGGCGGCTCGACGCGGCTCGGAGTGCGCCACAGGGAGAGGTGGTCTGGGGCTCCAGTCTCTTGACTCTTCGCTGTGCTGAGCTCTTTTCGCATCCTCAGGCCTCAGGGGGCAAATGATTACGATCTGGAACTTTTGGGGTTTTTTGTGGAGGAGGAGGAGGAGGAGGAGGAGAAGGAGGAGGAGGAGGAGGAGGAGGAGGAGGAGGAGGAGGAGGAGGAGGAGGATGAGGAGGATGAGGAGGAGGAGGAGGAGGAGGAGGACGAGGAGGTAGAGGAGGTAGAGGAGGAGGAGGTGGAGGAGGAGGAGGGCACGGCCACAAGAACTCCCACAGCGCGGCTGCCACCACAGAGTTTCGCTTCGCGTCGCTTCGCGATTACGGTCCCCGAACTTTTGCTTCGCGTGTCGCGCTGCCGGTCCTGGCCCACCACGCCGCTTTGGCGCGGTTTCAGGGGCCAGTAAGCCACATTGAGCTGGATGGCGCACACGGCTCCTCCTCCTCCTCCTCCTCCTCCTCCTCCTCCTCCTCCTCCTCCTGCTCCTCCTACTCCTCCCCCTCCCCCTCCTCCTCCCCCTCCCCCATTGGGCAGGATGGCGCACAGGGCTAAGCCTGAGTTAGCGGGATGACGCAGGAGTGAGCGGGACTGTGCCGGATTATGCCTGTTTTCGATCACGGGTCTACTGGCGCCGATGCTGAACTGAATCTCCAGGAGTTGCACCCCAAAGTCCAGGACCCGAGATCAACCGCTCCAGGATGGAAGATCCAGGATCCGCCGGTCGAGGATCTCGCGTCGGCGATCAAGGCTCGAGGATCCAAGGCCTCGAGGGCCCAGGGCCGCCCCACCAAGGTCGAGGATGCAAGGGCTCGAGGGCCCTGGGCCCAGTCGAGGTGCGCGGCTCGAGCGCTCAAGTGCTTGGGCGCCCGTGGGGATTGTTTAGGAGCGACCTCTGGCGACTTCTGGGCGGCCCCCGTCGTCGATGACATCGTCGTCCCAGTACGTCGTGCGTCGTGAGTTCGTCCGTCGTCCCAGTGGGGGGGGATGGTTTGAGAGGTTTGAGCAGGTTTCTGATGCCGTCTTTCTTTTCCTTGGGGGGGAGAGGAGGGTCCCTGTTTTCTTTTGCGAGGGGATGGTGGTTAGGAGGAGGGGGAAGAACATAAAGAAGGAGGAGGAGGAGGAGGAGGAGGAGGAGAAGGAGGTAGAAGAAGAAGAAGAGCATGAGGACGAGGAGGGCAAACCACACGAAAAGCAAGTCAAAAACTGAGATCACCCTGGCGTCAGGACCCCCGGCGTGGCCCCTCTCTCGAACCTCGCTCCTCCTCCCCTCGCCACCCCCCTCCTCTGATCCTCGACGGACGATCCCCCCTCGATCAGCAGCGCCCGAAGCCTCGTGCCCCTGAAGGTTCGCGCGGATTTCTTGGGTCCGCCCCTGGAACCCCCGTATCTAAGGAACCCGCGGGGAGCCTCGAACGCTTATGTTTTTGCCGCGTGTTTCGCGTTTCGCCTTAGATCCTCCTCCCCCTGCGAGTGCAAACAATAGGGGGGGGCAGCTCAGGGGTAAAAACATTAACCTGGAATCGGCGATGTATCACCGGTAGGCCTCCAATGGCGAATGCGCACGTTCCTGGGCGGGGTGGGCCATCAGGCTCCTATCAGCGATGAATGGGCGACTCGGGGTCGATGCGTCCCCCCCGACCCCACCCCCCTAACGCTGCCCGTGTCCCTGAGGTCGGTATACCCCTGGGTCCATGGCAACCAACACATTCGAAGAGCGATGCTGGAAGCCTCGCACATCCCGGACGGCGCAGATGGGCTCGAAGGGTCCGCGCCGCGTCGCCGATGCATCGGCAACGCCTGGACGGAGAAAACGGGGGTCCCCGGCAGGGGGGCCCACAGAAGACGTGCACGCCCAACCGTGGCACATGAGCACGGCCCCCCAGCCCGCGATGCCAGCCTCGTGTCGATAATGCTCTCGCAACGCGTGATCTCGGAATCCACGAAAAAAACAGGACATGCACACGTCAGAATGGGGCGCCGAACGATCATTCCCTGTCCCTGGGCGCGTGGATACTGTCGCCGTCGACGTCGCCCGCGACCCGCACGCGATCCACTTGCGACCCACCCCGCGACCCAGCCGCGACCCACCCCGCGCCTGCCCCCTCCCTCTTATCCGCAACTGCGGGGTGCTACCTA